TAATAATAATAATAATAATAATAATAATAATAATAATAATAATAATAATATAGGAAATACTAATAGCTCTGATGGTCGTTTCAAAAAACCCTTTCTTAGTTAGCACCTAGAAGCCAAGAGGAAGATACATGCCAAATTTTAAATTTGTAGGCTTTATGGTTCTGGAGATTTTGTGATGATGCGTAAGTGGTATTTTGCTTTTATATGTATAGATAAAGATAAATATTTAAATAGCTGCCACTATTAAAAGGCATTCTTGAAATAATTTCAGAAGCTGTTAATCCAAAACAAGTCAACTACTCATTTACAGGATCTCTGTATTTACTGGATCTACCAGATCGTTAGAAATGCACTGGGGGAAGGTGGGTGGGAGAAACAGAAAGATTACTTGCAAGACTAAGATTTTATTATCTTCTATGATCTTATTCTCAAGGAAGAACCTAACCACAACCAAACCTACTGCAAAGTTACCTGAGGTTTATTTTGGGGTGGGTATTTCCACCCCATCCCCAAAGCTACAGTACAGGGCCTTTTTATACTTTTTGATTTGTAAATTTATCAAGCAAAACTAAAACAATTCGGCAGGAAGATGCAAACAGACAAAAAGGACACACAATAGTGATAAAAGTAAAATAAAACTTAACAAAAAAAAATCACAATATTAATATACAACTATCTCAGTCCTTTAACAAATTATTAAATCTGGGCTTTTTATAATATAATAAAGACCCGTTTTTAAAAAAAATCAGCAAAGACCATGTCTCTTGAATACCCTTGTTAATAACTGCAGTTTTGATTTTTCTATATCTGTGCAGGATGACTCTCTAAGCCAACCTAAAAAAAAAGCCAAACTTCTTCATAAATTGCCAAAATATGTATCTTTGGACTTGTGTTCACCATCATGTTTACGCTGTTAACAACCGTGATTTTTCTGCCAGATTTGTGTTAATACTTGCGATCAAAATCTCCCTAACTTCAGAATGTGACACAACTCCAGTGCAGTGTGTTGTGCACAAAAGTCTGAGAAGTTTGCTAGCCTGGAAACTTCGGTAGAGGACAAGACGCACAAACAGGGCTGGAGCAGGAAGGATGTTCTTGGTTGGCATCAGAACTGCTAATGCCAAGTGCCAGCCTGGCCTGAAAGCATCCACCACAGACTCTGGAAGCCGGTGCCAACTACAACAAAACCCAGCAGCCCCACCCCCTACTTCGCCATTTACTTACTACCACTTAAGCCGTCTCTCTGGCTGACCGACTCTGCCTTTGGGTGAAAGGGATGCCAACTGGCACAGTTGCCCATGCTGGTAGTTGACTGGCAACTCCCGTTTCCCTGCTCGGGAAGGGATGGAGGAGAGCATTGTGGTCCGGTGTCAGCAATGCTGCTTCCTGTGGCAAAAGAGGATGTTCCTCCCAGAAAGCTAAAAGCAAACCACCCCAACGTCTCAATGCACCTCCTCTCCACATGTTGTGTCTAGAGAAGGAGAGATCTGGGGAAACCAGCCTTCCCGGTCAGCAAGTGCGTGCTTATAGTGGGCGGCTCCTCAGGAAGCATGGGCTGGATCATTAAGGTGGGTGGAAGGAAGGAAGGAAGGAAGGAAGGAAGGAAGGAAGGAAGGAAGGAAGGAAGGAAGGAAGCTTGCCTGCAGCTTGCTTGCCAGAACAAATGGCTCTGCATGCCACCATCACGGGTATAAGGTCTTCTGCTTGAGCAGGGGTTGGACTAGAAGACCTCCAAGGTTCCTTTCAATGCTGTTATTCTCTTATTCTGTCATCTTGAGATCTGTTGGTTTTGGTTTGGAGAGATTCTCTCAGAGCTCTTCCCAATCTGTTTTTTGTTTTACTACAGATGCAACGATTTGGAATCATCGGCACACTTGGCTTCCTCCTGCCCTCCATTTACTCCAGAATGTTTATAAACACAGGCAAAACTATTGTTTGCAAGATCGCTTCCTTGGGGACTCCACTCCAGTTTGAAAACGGGCCCGTGGATTTGTTTGGCTGCATAGTCTGCAGACCCGGAGTTACCATAACGATCAAAACAAGTTTCTTGAAAACAATTCAACAAAGAGGAAACATCGTAAAAAAAAGCAATCAAACAAAGCTCCATAAACGTCAAGAACTACGCTTGCCTGTGGAGGGATCAGATCCAAGATCTTCCAACAGAGTTTGTGATGGCCTTGTTTTCTTTTTAGATCGAACCTTTGGTCTGGATTCCTGTTTGCTGTTCTTTAGCAGGACGTAGGAATCCCTGTCTTCTCAAAAAAAAAAAAAAAAAACCTTCTATTTGATGTGGAGTTTTATTCCCCAATCACCACTGAGCAAAGAAGGAACTGGGGTAACTAATCCAGGAGAGAAGCAACGTTGAACTAAGGAGAAATTTCCCGACAATGGGAACAATCTTATTTAATAAAATGAAATTCAATGTAGAGAAAAGTAAAGTCTTACTCTTAGGCAAGAAAAACCAAAACTATACAAATAAACTGGGATAAACCAGACTTAATAGCAGTAGCTGTGAGAGGGATCTTGGAATCTTAGTGGACAACCAGTTAAATACGAGCGAACAGTGTGCAGTGGCAGCCCAAAAAGCCAATGCAATTCTAAATTGCCTTAACAAAGGGATACAGTCAAGATCAAGGGAGGTATTAATACCATTCCATAAAGCCTTAGTAAGACCACACCTTGAGTACTGCATCCAGTTTTGGTCACCACACTATAAAAAAAGACTAGAAATTGTGCAGAGAAGAGCACCCAGGATGATGAGGGGACTGGAGGCTAAAACTTATCAAGAACTGGGCCTGGCTAGTCTAGTGAAGAGAAGGACCAGGGGAGACATCATAGCAGTCTTCCAATATTTGAGGGGATGCCCCAGACAGGAGGGGGGGGGTCAAGTTATTTTATAAAGCACCTCTAGGCTTTAGGAATAATGGATGGAAACCGAACAAGGAGACATTTTCTGACCGTGAGAACAATCACCCCAAGGAACAGAAGTTGCCTTCGGAAGTTGTGGGAGCTTCATCACTGGAAGCTTTCAAGAAGAGACTGGACAGCCCTCTGTCAGAAATGGTGTAGAGTCTGCTTGTGCAGGGGGTTGGACTAGATGGCCCAAAGGGACCCTTCCAACTCTGTTAATCTGCATCTGTATCTATCTGTAACAATTAACCAGTGGAACTGCTTGCCTGCAGAAGTGGTGGGTGCTCTGTCACTGGAGGCTTTTAGGAAGAGACTAGACAGCCATTTGTCTGGAATGGGATAGGGCAGAGGTCACAGACACCCCTGGTTCGTGGCCCAGTTCTAGGCTATAGCCTGTTTGGAACTGGGCCGCAGAAGTGGTGGGTAAGCACGCACGTGCATGAAGCTGCATTTTTTAAAGCAGCATGCACACGCAAAACCATTCCCTCTCTCCCCTCTGCCCAACCCCACTGCAGCCTCTGCCAGTCCACCAAGCTGGAAAGGTTGGGCACCGCTGGTATAGGATATCCTGCTTCTGCAGGGGGTTGGACTAGAAGACCTCCAAAGTCCCTTCCTATTCTGTTATTCTGTCACTCATGTACTGCAACACCAAACCAGGGCATCGGTCTCGCAATGGAAGAATGGATGGCAAAAGTGATGGGATTGGCAGAGATGGCACAACTGTTTTAATTAAAGAGAAGAACCTATCTAGTTTTATTTCCATTTGGAAACTATTTCTGAACTTTTATTTGAAATTGAAAAAAATGAAACTGATTTTAGGTTTTGAGGATTAGAATGACTTTGCTATTATAGAAATGGCTTGAAATATTAGAAATGTGAAGCAAAAAGTTGAAGCTGTAATTCTTTGTATTGTATTGCATTGCATGGTAAAAGTTAGAACTCCTTTCTTTCTTTCCTTTCTTTCTCTCCTTTTCTTCTCTTTGCACCTTTCCTTCTTTTTTCTCTTAGTTTTCCAACTTTTGTCTCTTTTTCTATTTTTTATCTTATAATAAACTTTAATAAAATTCCAGAGGCATAGGTGAGCAGAGTTACAACTGAAATCAGGATGAGGTCCACAACTTTTCCACCAATTTTTCTCCCTAGAGATTTTCTACATGCCACTTTTTTCTCTCTCCAAAAGTATAGAAAAGCACCAAGGAAGGAGGAAAGCAAGGCTAAACTCCCCAGTAAGACAGCAAAACACATCTTTTTCCCCATTTCCTCCATAAAAGCACTTTATCAGAGCACTAAACCAGTTCTGTTTGCATTTCTCCAGCCTCCCGTGTTCACCAAGAAGGGAGTGTGGGATGAATAATTTCCGGTCCAGAGACCACACACCTCATCATACACTTTCTACAGATGCACCTGATGACCCCAAAACTTACTCCCCACTTAGCCAAGAAGCAGTGAGGAATTTCCAGCAGGAAAGGACGGAGGATTTTTGCCTCTTGAAATCAGACATTGTGAGGCGAGAGAGCCAAGCCAAAGGTGAAAAGCACAGCAGAAAAGAGAAAT